GAACAGAAGGTTCCACCAGGCCATCGAATCGAGCACCCCCTGCCCCTCTTCCATCAAACACACAGCACTACTCCCTCCCTCCTTTGTATTCTCCAACTCCTTCACCATTTTATCTTCATGCTTAGTGACAAAGAGTTGTTTACGGCCAGATTTAATGCGAGTCAGCTCTTCCAATTCCTTCGCATATCCCTTTCTCGGAGATGCTTTCAGAAATAATCCCCATCCCATCTTACTGCTCTTATCATCTTCCGTAACCACCACACAGTCCCTCTCCGAATGCCCCATTACTCCACACGCAAAAAAAAGAAGGGAAGTCTTTCATACTTGTACTCCACCTTCACCTTGTTCCCCTTTTTATCCTTTATCCATTGATGTCTTCTAAGAGGCTTTCGAACATCAATCATCACACGAATTCTGCGAAACCGTTCCAGTCCCAATTGATCATCCTCCAATCCAATCAATTCGCCAAGGTTCGCAGTCAAGATTCTTATGTCATTGTCCGATCGGCAATTAAAGGGTAAATTACACACCCTAATCCAAAACGGAGAATGGTTCAATTGAACGTTCTCTGGTTGTTCATCTCCAGAGATCTCTTTCAAAAGTAATAGGTTATTCTCCCAGCACCATGGTCTACCATTAAGGATTTTCTCTTTATCCTTCCAATGGAAACATTGGAAAGCAAACAAATTTGGTCTAATCGCTCTAATTATCAGATTCGAGAGACCCCAAACCTTCAGCATAGTCCTCTTAAAAGCTTCGAAATTGAAAGGTCTATTAGTCAGAAGTTTCCCAACAAGCATCAAAGCAATTTTACCTTTGGTTCCTGTCGCCTCTGTTCCTCCAAGATCCACCAATTCGTTTTCATCGTCCTCAAGACAGAGATACGAGCACTTATCAGTGAGATCGTCGGCCATTGCCGGATAATTGCGTTCGAGACGGAGCGGCGACTTTTCTTTCGAAGGAGCAGAACCCTCTCTTTCAAGGGAGTTATAATAAATTAACATTAATTTCACCTATATGCGAGTGATTTTTTCATAAATTTCCAACATAATTCCATTTTAAGAAATATATTTAATATAACCCAATATTTTATAGTCTAAAATTACTTTGCATATTGAGTAATAAACTATGGTTGCTAAAGACTTTATTTTGTGAGAATAATCTTATACTCTGTATACTTTGTTTGTAAAATTGCTTTAAAAAAGTCTTGATTTGTTCAAACTTATCTTGATTTTTTTTATATATATATATTTGAACTTATATGAATTAATCTTAAATTACTTGAACTTATAACCCGAGTATATTGTTTGAAGCAAGACGCAATAAGTGGAACAACTAATAAACGGAGTAGGTCTTAAGAATAATATATATTTAAGATTTACTATTTCAATATTATATTATATATAATAGATCAAAACTAAATTAATTCAAGTATACCAAATATTGTCTTTTAAAAAAAAAAGTAATACTCGTACCAAATATTGATTTTGACACACCTTTATGTGGAAGAAGGGGAAGAGCATTGAAAATTGTGCTCTCAAAGTAATGGATGTGTCGAAATCGATGATTCTGATCACATAATTCAACAACTACATGGAAATTTTAATATAGCTTACCTCCAACAATGAAATTTATTGTTTTAAAATAGAAATTAAATGTGTATTGTAAGGATGTGGCTTGCATAAACGAGTGATTGACATATATAGCTAACCATTAATTATAAACCAATTAACTTGATACATATAGCTAACCATTAAAAAAAAAATGCTATCCTTTTCCTTGCCTTGGTTTATTCTATATGCAAAATGAGAATCTCATCCTATCTATTGGATCCAAGGTAAATTGCAATGATTGTCGAATTATAAACCTAGCTACTCGACTATATTGCATGATCAAACCCAATGCTATTTCCAATACATTGTACATATACAACTTTGTATTAGACAATAGACATAATCACGCATTAACGCTACCTTATTTAGCACTTTTTTTCCTTTATTTTCGTATAGTCAATTAAAATAACAAAAAACTTTTTTTTTTTTTTTTGAATAGAAATAACAAAACACTTTGTAAAAGTTAAAAATGACGGGTATGTCACCTCTCATAACCAGAGCATTCTTTTAATCAACTTTATTTTACGTTTATCTTTTCAATCTAAATCTAATTTTAAACATGATTAGTATTCTTGATAAGACTTTATTAATATTACCCTAAAATAGCAACAATTTAACCGATACAAAGAATCACAAAATCTCACCTTGAAGATTCTTTTCTGGTATTATTATTCATCCACCCAGAAATTAACTGCAGTTTCACAATTAATCATCATTATTACTTACATCTTTCCCCCACAAATTCAATACGCAGAATAGGAGAGAGAAAATCACTGAGATACCCAGAAAAATAAAGGTTCGTTACTTTCTATCTTCGATCTCAATTTTTATTTTTAATTTGAATCTTTCATCTTCTTCAATTTGTACTTTTATTGTAGTAGTACTGTAGTATTAATTAGTTCAATCAATGCAATGTTGCAAATTCCCTTTATTTATTTCTTTGTGATTATTACTTTTTTCATCATGATTGAATAATTTATGCATTGATTACAATACCCCAGATCTGATAATTATCCTGCTTTTCGTTTTATTGTGATATTATTATCGCTGATTTCTTGCAATTTTTGAATCGCACTCTTGTTTTTTATCTTCAATTTGAGTATATTTTTTGTTGATTTATGATGAATTTTTCGAATTGGAGAGTTATACGTTCATTGTCGAATTGTTTCAATTGATACTGAATTCATGTTCCCCAAATTTTAAAAATTGATCGATTATTAGGGTTTCAGGGCATGAAATTTCCGATGGAATTGGTGGTGTGTGAATTTCTGAGAAAATTATTGTAGTTTGTTTGGGTAATTTAATTTACTGCTTCATTCTGACAAATTATTGTTTAGAATCAGCATTCCTATTAAGAGTCAGTCAATCACATGGAAAAGTCAATAAATTCCATGTAGTAGTATGGATAGATTTAGAGGTTAGACAGTGCAATTGGAACTTTGGAGCTTGTTTCCAAATATGGAGTCTTAAATGGTTGGGGAAGAGTAGACTATTGACTTTTTCGCCTAGTAGATATTAAGCATTTTGTTGCAATAATCATTTTTTTTCCATTGGTAAACTTACAACAAAGCCAAATTTATTGATAATTCATCATGATCTTGGACCATTGATCCTTTTTATTTCACAATAGAATGGTTTCTAAAGATTTTATAGTAGCGAGGAGTGGGACTAATGGCCCTGAACAATGCATAATTTTTACGATAAATGGTAGAGGTGATTGAACCAGGGCCAAATTCCTGGAAACCAAATATGCACACCAGCTTAGAACCCTTTACTTCCTTCTAAAGTTGTGTGTTTATGGCCAAATGGGACAAAATATGTAGCTCTTCATGCATTGCTTTGTCTTTCAAAGATCTGTTATTTTTCTAACCTCCTGTGAAAATCGAAGTACTATTTCTACATTCCTAATTGAGACCCTGGATATAAAAATTTGGTTCCAGTTATGAAATTTGTTTGTCACAGCTCATCTTAGTTTTTTTTTTTTTTTTTTGCTGCTAATCATGATTTAATTGATCTGCCAGTGACCATCTTTTTTCGGATTTTTCAGCTTTTTGCATTGCTTGATATTTGGTATGATAATTAGCAAGACAAAGTTATGTCAAAATTTCATCCTTGCATTTCTGAGAAAGTAGATTACTTGTTACCTGCTGTTTATACAGTTGTGAAATTCCAGATCTAGTTTGTTTAGCTGGCTTCTTGAGATGGTACATTTGCCTAGCAGCAAGATGTTTATGCTGATATATATAATGTTCTTTTTCGGCAGGTTAGTTACATTTTGGTTAGGGACTGAATATGAGTCTCGCCTGTCTTGTGTGCCACAGTGTAGAAAGCCCATCACATTCGTTCAGAAGTTACTCCGTGTCTAGTTCAGACAATGATGGGAGATGTTCGGCAATGGCTAACTGCTTGAGTCGGAAGCTTGCAATTCCTCCACCTAGGGGAAACCCAGTCACATCATCGTCTAAAGTGACTCCACAGCCAGATTTATCAAATCGGGGTGATATTTCAGGTCCTCCGCGTCTAGTTAGAAGTCGTGCAGTCAGAAGGGACCAAGTCAGAAACTGGAACTTCGAGGTTATTGAGCTAGAGCAGTAGTTTAGCTAATATGACCAAGAGAATAGACTGCTTCTCTGGGTATTGTTTAGATATAGTTAGATCCCTCGTTCTTTCACCCTTCTTTCTCTCCAAGTCTCCCACTGTCAACATTATTTTCCCACTAGATTCTTTATGTAACTGAATTTCGTTAGAGTAATTTCTTTTTCATGTCAGGATGACTGAATTATGTCATTGTGTCCAATTTCATACATGAAAATCTTGTGCATATTAATAATAGTCAATGTGAAGTATTCAGCTCCATATTATGTTATAAACTGCAGTCGCAAAAGTTTAAGATAATTACATGCATTAATGTGTGAACAAATTGTTTACAATAAGCTGCGATGAGTAAATGAACAATCCTCCACCTACCTTCAAACAATGTCTAGAATTTGATTATCGGACATCGATGGTAGAAAATGAAAAAAAAATGACGGCCATTCAGTCTCTAATAAGTAATAAGACAATGCATTCACTAAGGGCCTCTTCACATTTACTAAACTGGACTGAACTGAACTGATCGGAGTTAAACTGAACTGAATATTTTATGAGATGAGAAAATTAGGAGCTGAATTGAACTGAACTAATTAGAGCTGAAATGAAATTAAGCTGAAGTGCACATGCCTTAATACTCCCTCCGTTCCTTTATTTTTGCCCCATTGCCATTTCTTATCTCAAACTTTGAAAATTTTGACCATAAATTACCGTTAATCTATAAAAGACAATATAGTTAGAGTGGTCTTGTTAGATTCGTCTCATTGTATACTTTATTAATATTACATTTTTATATTTTAAATAAAGATATAAATATTTTAAGATGCGTACTTATTCTGCTGAAGACCGTAAACAGTTAAATCTACTGAAGACCGTAAACAGTTAAATGGGAAAAAAAGAAAAAAAAGAAATAGGACAGAGGGAGTAATAACCCGAAAATTAAAGCAAGCCCATTATTATTTCAAGCCCATTATTATAATATACGAGTAATTGCTTCTTTATCATCCTCAAGCCTGAAATTTCTTAACTTACCGATTTCTACACTCACTCAACTCAGCAACGAATCCATGGCTACTTAATCATTCAAATAGTATTGTGCAAAAATGGCGTTGAAGAACAACACTCCATTATCATCTTCATCTTTCCCATGTTCAATTCCCTCTCTTCTCCTCTCTTTCTCTCTCCTCTGTACCCTTTTCTTCATCTTCTTCAATCGACCCTCTTCCATTTCCAATGACCCCACTTCGATCTCTCAATTTTCCCAGAAAAATTCCCTCAATGTTTTCATTTTTAACCTACCCAGATCCCTAAATTATGGCCTATTGGAGAGATATTGGGCTTTACCCCCTGATTCTCGGATCCCCAGTGACCCAGATCACGAAACCGGCTCAAATCGGAAACCCGGAAACCTTGAGTACCCAGAAAATCCATTGATAAAACAGTATAGTGCTGAGTATTGGATATTGGGTGATCTTATGACCCCTCAGAATTTGCGAAGTAGGTCTTTTGCAAATAGGGTTTTTGATGCAAAAGAGGCGGATGTGATTTTTGTGCCGTTTTTTGCAACTTTGAGTGCTGAAATTCAGCTGAGTTTGGATAGAAGTGTTTTCAGGAAGAAATCTGGGAATGAAGATTATCAGAGGCAAAGAGAAGTTCTTGATCTTGTCAAAAATTCCGAGGCTTGGAAATTATCTGGTGGCCGTGATCATGTTTTTGTTTTGACAGGTATAATCTTTTATTACTCTTGTTAATTAATATAATTAGCTTTCTGAATTTGTGAAAGTTGCATGATTTTTGTAAGCTTGTATGGTATATGGTTGCAAGTCTTGCAACTGAGAACTTTATTTTTTTCTTTTATTTTATAATATGGTGTATTGTTTATCACTTTAATAGGATTCAATGTGCATGTAGAAATATTAGAACCAATGATGTTACATGCTTTAAGCTTCTATGGAGTTATAATTAAGTGTTTGTAATATGCATAATTCTGGAGGCATAATTAAGCATTATCTATTACTCTTATGTTAGAGATGATATGTTGGACGGTAATTGTATCGACTGGACTCAAAGAGTGTGTTGTGGATATTCATCATAGCAGTCCTTGGCAAGCTATGAGATTTGATACTCTATAAATTGACTGTAAGTCATTGCCCTGAGCTGTTGGGTGTGAATATACCGGGTTTACTTCAATTGACTCCTATGTTATACAATTTACTTGAAATTTTTCACCCTTCATCAAGGTTTCACGTAGCCGTCAAGGAATCATGGTCTTTGGCTTAGCACTTAGCTATTTGATCTGTGTAGTCCTACTTCCCAAAGGTATCGAAAAAGTGACACTCAAATGAAATTTTCACAAATACAAAGTATTATAGAAGGGAAAGCTATAATGACTTTACATGCTGACTGCTGAGTACCGGGTTGAGGCCTTGACTGGCCGTCTTAGCTGCTCACTTATAATTTAGAGAGGGGGGGGGGAGTTGTGGTTTTATGGTTTCCTAATTACTAACGTAAGAAAATGCTGTATTGTCTTTTACTTACTAAAGTGCCTTAGTCTGTACAAAAGGACTTTTTTTTTTTTTCATGACCTTGCAACATTCATTCCATGGTTCTACAAACTTGGCTCTTTCATTCCGAAAATGAGGGAATTCGACGTGTCAATTGTTTTTCTATTTGGGTCGAGTAATTGATTGTGCAAAAATTCTTATTGCTAGATATTATCTTTCAAAAATATATGGTGTTTATTTCATTGTATTTCTTTGCCAAAGAGGTGCTCTAAATTAGAAAATATAAGAAAAAAAACCAGGAACTTGTGGGAAAAGTTGTATGATATCCATTGGGAAATAGTTATCATTGTTCGGTATTGGCATTAGTTGATGTAAAAATATCAATAAGAACAACATGATTGAAGTGAGGGGGACTAAACAGCACATTTAACAAAAATATTTTGAAAATTTTATGTTTATAAAGTAATCGTGGCTGAAGTAACATTACTATATTTTGTGGTAATAGTTTTATGAGAGAGATTTAAATCATGATTATAAATAAGCAGTCACATTAGATGTGATTTTTAAGAATCATGTATTATAAAAGTGTGTATTTTATTGTGATTTCATTAAATGCATGCGCAACTCACTGCATGTACTTGGCTGTATGTGCTGAATATGTAATAGTCTCTTACAACCCTTTTTTTTTTAATTTTTTTTTTTTTATTATAGTAGTCTCTTACAACTTAAGCAACCTTTGTTTGGCAAATTTATGGCTTATTAACCTAATTGCCTTGTATGAGCCAATATTTTAAACCATGGGTAATATTTAGTAATGTCCAAATAGCCGATGTTAGATCTGAAATGAGTAAATGACTGTTGTTTATCACTTACATTTGGTGCCACAAAGGATTATGGTCACTGTTTGAGGTTAGTTAGACCAGTGGACACTTCCGTGTGAACTTTTCTCGAAATCTTCATTGTTTACATAAATCAATCATTCTTTTTGGTATCTAATGTTGGGCTTAGTGTAATCGGTGTCATGCTAGCCAATAAGGTTTCTGCTAGTGCTTTCCTTGGGAAAGAATAAGTGTCAAGGCCCATCAAGATTATTTTCTGGCGATCTGGTCTAATGGCACCTAGGATACAAAGGGTTTATTATCCCACCTTGTACTTTTCTTGACCCTTGCTTAGATTATCAATTCACGTCAAGTGTTTACTACTTAACTGTGCTCTCAAACTCTCACTAGCTATCAGGCCTTTCAATTTTCTATCTAGAAATGTTCTGTCTTTGGGAAGATCATGCAATGTTGTCCTTTCAGGTCTCTTCTACATTGTATGTAGATATGCAATTTTGTCCGCTTGGATTGTTGTTTGAACTTGATGTAATTCCCTCTAATTTTCCTTGAAATAATTTATCAGTCTTATGTATAAGCCTATTATGTGTGATATATCTTTTTGCTTGAGAAGTGCCGGATTTGACGTAGTTCATTGCTGTTATCATTGGGATAGCCCTTAAATTGCCTTCAGCATGGCTTTTGTTGCAAAAATAATTTAGAAGTCGGGTGGAATTTTCTCCTCTCTCCCTTTTTTAGATATTCCCTTAATAATTTAAAATAATTTTTCATGCATGATTTGTGGTTTTTTACTTGGGGTTCATAATGGTCAATTGCTCAGTCCTATTTTTGTTCCGGATAGCCAATTGTATGATATTTTTTTTCACATCATTGCTGTATAGAAACAATAACATACAAGTAGTGCTGTGTGCTTTAGCAGCTTATGGTTTAGTGTCTGGATTCTCAGGTTGTTTTAAACCTTGAAGCATTATTTGGCAGACCCTGTTGCAATGTGGCATGTTAGAGATGAGATTGCCCCAGCCATGCTTCTTGTTGTAGACTTTGGTGGGTGGTATAGACTTGACGCAAAGTCATCCAATGGCAACTCAACGGAAAGGATTCAACATACACAAGTTTCTTTGCTGAAGGATGTGATTGTTCCATACACCCATCTGCTCCCTGTATTGCGCTTATCAGAAGACCAACCACGGCGTACTCTTCTTTACTTTAAAGGAGCAAAACATAGGCATAGGGTCAGTATTCTATTCATTGTTTATTCATTATTTATTTATTGGTTTTTCTTTTATAGCCATAAGTTCCATTGTGTCATACTGTCATTCATGGTGTGGTTGGAATATATTTTCAAATGCCCAAAATATCTTCATCAGGTTTTATACTTATTGGGGGGGGGGGGGAAGACTTTAAGGACATAATCTTTGGGTATTGAGATCTTTGACAATTTGCAGAAATATCAACCATTTTTTCTCATAAAATTGAAATATTTTTCCCAAATGACAACTTAGCGGAGGATATGTTCCCCCCAACCAAATGCCTATAAGCATTACAGAACATTCTCTGACCTGAAGAAGATTCTTGTATGCAGGGAGGTGTAGTTCGAGAGAGATTATGGGACTTGCTAGTAAATGAACCTGGGGTAGTTATGGAGGAAGGTTTCCCCAATGCCACTGGTAAAGAGCAATCGATTAAAGGGATGAGAACCTCCGAGTTTTGTTTACATCCTGCTGGAGATACACCAACATCATGCCGCCTTTTTGACGCCATTCAAAGTTTATGTATTCCTGTCATTGTCAGTGACAGAATTGAATTGCCATTTGAAGGGATGATTGATTATTCAGACTTTTCAGTTTTTGTGTCTGAAAATGATGCACTGCAATCAAAATGGCTTGTATCTCATCTTCAAAGCATTTCTAAGAAGCAAAGAGAAAAATTTCGCAGAAACATGGCTCTAGTTCAGCCAATGTTCGTGTATGATAATGGCCATCCTGGTGGTATTGGTCCAATTCTACCAAATGGAGCAGTGAATCAAATTTGGAAAAAGGTTTATCAAAAGCTGCCAATGGTAAAGGAAGCTATAGTTCGAGATAGAAGAAAACCACCTGGTGTTTCGATTCCACTTCGCTGCCAATGTATCTGATGTTACATGTAAACCCTTTTGTGGCTTTTTTCTTACAATTCCCTCATACATATTATTTTGACTAATGTAATGAGAATCATTCGTTGTTGATTTGCAATCAAAGGAATTTCTCCCAGATCCTGTTATTCCGTAGTCTTCTAATGTTATGAACAACTGTGATTACTTTTGGTATAGTTATTATTGACATGTAAAATTGCATTGATATTCAAACACTTAATGATGTGCGAATGGTGTAGTAAGATGATTATTTTATCTCAAGGTTGCAAATACAGGGGATGTTTTTGTAGCAGAAAGGGATGGCAGATACCCCTTCTTTTACTAGGAAACAAAACAAATAAAACACTTACAACAAATCCAACGACCAAAGGAACAGTGTTGGTCACTTTTCTTGGAATTGCAGGGTAATAACATTGCTGAGCATCATTGTGTAATGCAGCAAAAGTCAGGAATGCAATAACCGACAGCAGTGTATGGAAGAGATCTGACCGTCTCAGCTTGTAATCAGATGGAATGAGGGGGCTCTTCCGGCCTCCGTTGAAGGTCCATATTCCTCTGATGGTTGCTACACCATAGTATAACCTCCCATTTGCAGCTCTGAAGCTATCAGTTATGGAGAAGAAGATGCAGGACACAGAACAAAGTGCCCAGAAACTGCCCATGAGCCATCTGTCTAGAGTACTGCACTTGCCATCATTTGTCAGGAGAGGAGTAAAGATAGTGTAAGCTAAAATCGTAATACTGGGCAGAAGAACATTGAGCCGAGCAGTGCCGCTAAGGATGGCATTGAGAATATACATGCAATGCCGTTCATCTATGCCATCATCCAAGTTATTAGAGTTATCAGATTCATCAGCTGCCAGTAGAGCAGCATTGATTGATTCATCCATTTTTGCGGGGATCGAACGGTAGTTTTTTTGCATGTATGGCTGAGGCACAAGTCATCCATTTAAAGACTTCTAGTTTTTTTTTATGTTTGAGCATCTTTTGCTTTCTGCTCAATCAAGAATCTCATTGTTTTAGAAATAAATTATACCTTTCCATTATTTACGGAATAGGCAAGAACCTTCTTGGTCGCATAATACAAATTGTTCCTCTTTGACTTCGCTGTGAAGAAACTTGTTTCAGTTTTTAATGGATTACACAAGCTTAATCCACCTACACTGCCTTAAGTTCAGAAAAAACGTCTGAAAAGCTAGATTGTAGAACGTCTGTTAAGAGTGAAAACCTGCACACAGTTGCCTTAATTCTAACATATAACGAAGATTGATCAACCAACACTCGACTCCTTCATAGACCATAAATTAGTTATTGAGGTAAGAAGACTTTCGTTATTGAGGTAAAAAGCCCTCAATTAACAATTAGCTTCATATTTTTGGATAAAATAAGCATATTAAAGAAACAGCATACAAACAATTATCTTCTTGAATCAGACGATCAGGAATCAGGATACCAATGTTCAACATTCAACTGTTCACAGGAACAAAAATAATATTCCGTATAAAAAATAGTTTCAGTAGAGTAGTTTTCAGCTTCAGCATTATCAAAGCTCCAAATGTATGCTTTGTCGTCATTTCCGCAGCTTGCTACAGAATTTACAAAATTTTCATACGTATATAGCTCAATCTGCACACAGTTGGCCTAATTCTAACATAACATATACCCAGTTATCTGCTAAATAATCGCAGTATAACCAGTTGTTATGTGCAGCAGCAGTAACAATCTATGTACAGTATCAATTTTTACTGTAAAAAAAAAGGAAAAAGAAAATTACGGTGCAAATGAGTAAAGAATATTGAGCTAATCTTGGGTTGGAAGACTATCTAGCTCCTCCTTGTGCTTCTCTTGGGTTGGAAAACCATTTAGCTCCTCCTTCTGCTTCTCTGACTTTGTGACAGATATATCATGAACTTTGACGCCACAAAGTTTGCAAGGATTGGAAGATCTGTTAGAGCACCAGTGATCTGGGACAGTGAGGAAGTGAGTGTCCATGAACTTCCTAAACCTTTTCTTATATTCTTGTGGTGAGATAATGGTTGGTGAGGAATTCTTGGGAACAACAAGAGATGACTTCACCCATGTTTCAAATTGCTTATCCCAAGTGTATTGTCTTAGATAATCTATGATCCCACATATCAGCTCTCGGCGTTGCCTATCAACCCCCACCAGTAAAGAATAATCCATGACTCCTATATTCTGCCACGAAAGTAAGAAAGAGTGATCAGAAACAAAAGGTACACCATAAGGCCCTAACCATCTAATCCCTAAAGATAGTGTTAGTAAATGTCAAATTTCACCAATGAAAAATAGCTTCAACTGAACAAAGAAAAAAAATACTCTGTAAAACCAGCGTAGATCATTTTAAATTGATGAAAATCGGTTATTAGCAGTAAAATTCAATTCTAATAAGCAAAAATCAGATTTTTCATTTCAATTTAGTCCAAAATCAGGTAAAGAGAGCAGAGTCTAGCTGTCTAGGTAACTTGATATATATATATATAATAAAAATAAATAGATTAAAAAAATATATATATTGTAGATTACATTCATTCTATCCTGCATTCATGTGGTGAGGGTAGAGGGTGCAACCAGAATAAGATACTATGCAGATCATCAGAACTTACTTTGAGAAATGTTGTGTCATTCCAGACAGCTCGTTGTAGAAGTCTCTTGGCTTTCTGGCCAACATATAAAGGTGATGAATTCATGTCATTCACAAAATTCTGGTCCAATAGAACATCTCCCGCACCATCAGCAGTTGTGGTAAAACGAGCATGCAATGCACCCTTTAAATCATACTGACGAGTAATGTTCCTGCCAAAAGAAAGGTTCTCCTGAACCATGAGATCATGTTTTGTCTCTTTGCCGCTCTTGGGATTTCTAATAGTGACCTGCAAGCATGGAAGCAAAGATTAAAATCTGTCCATGCATAAGGCAAATATAGATATATAAAGTGAAAGCAAGGATGAAACCATGAAGAAATGTATTCATAAGAACCTGATAAATTCCCAGAATTTTTGCAAGGCAAGTCTGATTTCCAGAGTAAACAGATTCTTTCATGTGCTTAAAATACTCATTGGCAAACTTCATGAACGACTCAAATTCAGTCTTCTTAATTTCCTTGACAATAAGCCTCTCATCAAGTGTTTTGGCAAAGACAGACTTGCTCTTCCCACCTTTGGCATCCCAAATCTTACAGCGACTAAGGGAAGCAATATAATCAAGTTCTGATGGGCAGCATCGATCCCGAAGATCGCGGAATTCAGTGGGATGTATAATAACTACTGAATATTTTCCCTTCACAGGATACTTTTCAATACCTAGAGTAACTTCACTGTACACTCGCCCATAAGAAACAAGAGAATCCACTCGATTCAAGCTGTCAATGGTGGATAAATGAGATTCTGTGAAAGTCATGCTTGATGAAGAATGAATAAAATCTGTATCATGAAAGCTGCTCAAAGGCCAAGGCTCAGATACTGCACGTTTCAGAGAAGTATATTCATCTCTAACTGATGCTGGAGGGGCTGAAATTTCAATTAAGGCCAACGCACAAGCGACGGAGCTTGAGATTTCACCATCAAAATCCGATACAATGAAGTCACCATCTCTGAGAGGCATGTGAATCCTGGTACCCTCATCAATAATTACTTGAGATACCGTAGGCAAGAAGTCAGGAGAGTGTAGCAGTTCAAATTTGGGCAAGTGACCAAATTTAGACGGGCGGCCTTCCAGAAGATCCTCCATGCACTCATCTCGAGTTTGTTTAAATGGATTCCACCACGGGGAGTCTAACTTCAGCAGATGAGAAGTTATAGTTTCAGATACCTCTCCATCAGCAGAGCAACTACTATCTTCCTTATCCGCATCAATGGATATGCTTCTATCTTCCGACAGATGGCTAGACAGTGAAACACTGTCCTGTTGAGTACTCTCATCAGAATGAAGATGGGAAGGAAGTGTGCTCCCACTAGACTCTTGAGACAGTGATATACTTGAGACTAAATCACCTGAGGGTGGCGTCTCAGTATTCTCCTCGACAATGGGCAAGCTTATCAAGTCTTGCTCTCCACAGCCTACAAGCATTCCCTCATTTGGAAATTCCTTATCTGAATGATTTTCTGTTTCTGCAACCATCTCAATTTGGACCTCTACATCATTAGGGTTCTCAGAAGTTCTATCATCACCTTGTGCAATAGCTTCATTCTCAATCTTTAAATCGGAATGGCCATCTTCAATTCTCTGCACTCTAAATTCTTCAGCACCTCCATTGTTTGACCCAGTTTGTCTTTCCATCACCTTAGTAGTAGTTTCCACTGTCCCGTTACTATGCTCTTTTTCAGAATCCACAAGCGCTTGCGAATCATTATCAGCAATCTTTTGTATCATTTCACCCTCTGTTCCAGATCTGTGCTTTTCCAACAGCATTTGCTTTTGTGCTGTTTCTGCAGCTGTCTTAGACCCTACAATCACTTCTCCAGGGAAGCCATCTTCCTTCAAACCCAGTTGCCTCTGCGCCACTTCATTATTGCCAGTAACTGTAGACTGGGAAGAAAGTAGTGACTGCAATCGCCGGTCCCAAACACATGCTTCAAGCAGAATTTCCCATCTAAGTCGGTTCATGCTCAGAAGTTTATGGACAGTCTCATGTGAATCTTCATTCTTATTTTTAAAGTTCTCCTGTTTTTCACAATAATACAGCCAAAATAATAAGATAAACACCTTAGTTTGGATCTTTGGAATGCAGTGATGCACTGCATGGTCTACATCCAAGTGCCTTGACATGAGTGAGTGCATAATTAAGGCTAACACAAACTGGGATGACTAAATAGAAAAAAGAAGATGAAAACAATGATGAAGAAGAAGAAGAATGATTCCCAAATATCCACTCAAGCAGTGAGCACAGATCAGGAATTCATGATACATGAAAGATCACATGCATGTAAAAGGAAACTTACTTCAAATTCAGATTTTTCCAGCTTCAACATGTCTACAATGTCAGCAAACCCTTTTGAATATCCATTAAGAACCAGATTCCAGCCAGAAAAGCGAGGTTCGATTTTTTTCAAGTATTTTTCAAGTTCATTAAAAAGCAATAGCCCTGAAGTGTAGACCTGCAAGGAATAGAGGAAGGAAACTAATTAAATCATACAGAAGAAACCATTTGGCAACTTTCTTCCATACAGAATCTTTGAAAAGAAAGGGCATACCGTCCCAATATCAGATTGAAGCCAGTCTCTGTCAATTAAACTATTGAACTCCATTTTGTGGGCTGGCACAGAAACGGTATATAATGCAAGACGAGAGTACTGAAACATAGCAACCATAGAGCCCAGACTGCAAGTCATGTAAAAAATCAGAAGATCATATAGAACAGTGAATGATCGTATTTACAGTCGAAACAGAAACAATGACATTTGACTACACATTTTTGAACAAAGTTTCAAGCCAGATACTTGCATTACCAACCATTAGAAAGAGCTTTTCAAAGATTTCAGGGCTGAAAATGGTTTTCCTTAATGCATCCAGTAAACTAACCAAAACAAGGATAAAGTGTATCACCAGCATCAGAAAGAGTTCTGAGTTGAAATAGGATTTTGTTTCTAAATGTAATTAAAAGGGCTCTATCTTAGTAACCGATACCACAAAACCAAACAAGAGTGTACAATAAGGAAAATAAATAAGCAAAAATTAAGCATATAGGACAGAATTCATACCCAAAAAAGTAGAGGAAGTCCTTCTGAAAGGAATGCCCACAGCTAGCAAGCCTATTAAATGAAGAATGACTTGAAAAGCTGAGCTCCAAAAATTTGCCAAATGACAAGCAACGTGCAGCATCAGAGATCAATACCCTTTTGGTTGCCTTCTCTTTATCAGGTTCACATTTACTACAACGACTCCACATCCAAAGTTTCCCTTCAGGTTTTCTAGGCAAATGCTTATCACCAAGTTGTTTGACTCGTATAGTGAGCTGCTTGCTGTGATGAACATAATAGTAGTAATGAGCTTCAGGACCTTGACCACATGTCTCACAATTAAGATCCTACACATTCAATGGATTCAGTAAGGCTCGCATTCAAAATATATAAATACACATTCAAATACAACACACCCAACTTTATGGAAATAAACAGATAAAGAATCAGACTATACCACATCAGTGAAACATATCACCAGTAATTTAAAATGCAATTCTCTAATTAATTCACAATGAAATCACATCATTCACACATCACTCTGCTAAAACTAGTACAAAAGGATTTACTTATAGTTCTATAAATCACCCAAAAAAACATTAAGAAACCAACCACAAACATCTGAGCAACAGCTTTAAGAAAAAACAAGGTTGCACATTCAACAAAAACAGTCCAGCAGAATGGATATAACCTGATTGAAAAGACTATCCCGTAAGAACTTCCCAAGGGGAACATCAAAAGTCCTGTAAAATTTAATTTGAGAAAAATGGCTTTGCTCGCAAATAGTCCCTTTTATAGCATTTCGTCTAGACATCAAAACCAAGATACTCTCAGAATCCAAAACACTGCTGATTTCATCCTTTGCAGTGATGCTCTCTTCGCCATCATTTACTGGTCCCTTTGCTTCCCCCTCGGTCATAGAGGAAGTGGACACTAGCTGGGAGTCATTATACATGGAATTGTCTTCTTTGGCCATTTTCTTTGCCTCTATGTCAGATCGCTCGGCAGGATCTTCAGTGGGTGACACAGGAATTGAGACTGCAGTTTGAGCTTCAAGTTCCCTCCCATTCAAGTCCATGTAAGTAGACATGTGCTCATAAGTAGCTGGGGAGACAGTTGAAAGTAGCTCTGGTGCATTTGAGAATGATGTTGATGCAACAGAGAGTTTGGGAGACAACTGGCAGTCAGCTGCAAGCTGCATATTGTGAGAAAGTTTGTCATGAGATCCACGGGAAGAAGCAATCTCAGCATCTTTGGCACTGAACTCCTTGACGTGAAAGGACTCTCCCTCTTGAAGCTCATTGGAAGCCAGAATATCATCGGCAGGGGGTTCTCGCTCATAAGAAGACACCTGATCATCACCATTGGAGATGACAACCTGTACTCCATCTGCCGGAGAATCACCTAGATTAGGCTCCTCACTATGTGGAATACTGGCCTTTTCAGAGACAACAGAAGTGGACTGTTCATTGATTGATGAGATATCAGCAGCTTTTCCAGAGGCAATAGTGGAGAACATAGATTTCTGATCCAAAAGAAAGGAAGTTTCCAGGAGGAAATGATAAGCCATTACAACAGCACACTGTACAACGCACTTGATCTTCTTCAACTCTTCAGCATGAGAACCCTTTAGCAGAATCTGTGCCATTAAAATTCAAGTCATTTATTTAATATTCTAAACAACAGTCATAACAAGCCTCAACAGTTTAAATAATTCACAGTATTCCACCCTACTCCCATTTAAAGCATCAGTACTTAAGGATAATCCTAATGGATAAGCGTTCTAGGACACCATAATAATTAGGAAAGCTAGACACTACATAAAGAATGGCACACAATAATCTCTTTATTAGTTCACACAGCATGTAATCAGGGCCCTTCAATCCAACCATGGTATTAAATTCTTAATTTTGATGCTTAAAGTCATAAAAACAATGCAATAACGTTTTCATTGCTTTGCAAATTATGCACTGAGTAACTAAATCCCCAGATATTATATAAGAGCACAACCCACAAACAGTCACTGCATCACATTTCCTTATTTCTTTAGCATAATCTGCATTAAATTTTCTGCATTGATCCAGCATGAGAAAGCAAACAAAGTAAAGGACTGAGGCTATTTGTTGCACTTGCAAATTGCAACAGTACTGATCAAATAAAAGTGACACAAGCTATAAGAAATAAGGTGGGATAAACCTCAATTAAAGATATATTACAGGATACAAAGCCTAGATGGTTTGGCTATATCAAATTCAGGTGGGCTTCCGGACAGCTATAATGTTTAGAAAGATCATACCATGGCATTGCAAAATAAACAAAAAAAGGTAGAACAAACAAACAGGAAGTACGTGAGCAAGCAAATATTTATCGCCCAAAAATTCACCGTGTACAAGACCTTGACAGAGATTCATGTTGCAAAAAACAAATTGAAGGCCCTGTTTTTATCATAGATGAGAACATCATCTTCAGCCCAAGTGCCCCAAGTTGTTACTTTTCATAAAATTTTTGTCTATTGAGAAAAATTGGCGTCATAACGTGATAAGCAAATGCATGATATTAGTTTTAAAATATCATAAAGTTTGACATAGAAATTAACTAGATATAATTTCTTTAGGAAATTGTGGTGAGAGAAAATGTATGTAAATGCTCTTTTTTCATTACCAAAAAGTTTGTGAGGTCTAATTACTAGTTTAAATCTTATAAAAAGATATAATTATCAGAGTTTGTTATCTTTCACTTTTTATGTTCGATACCCTGTAGCGACAACATTTACTTTTTCAATCGAGGGTTGGCATGGTAATGAAGCCTTTAGATGAGGAGAGTGCCACGTGAGATAGCTTTCCTAAGAATGTTTTTTAATGTATTAGCATAGAAGTAAAGTTTGAGTAAAAGGAAGTCACAAGCCATTGTCACAAGCCATCCTAAATCATTTGTTTTTCTTAATAATATCCATCGCCACACAATTCCTACTCTACAAGTGGAATTAAATATTTGGAACAGACAAGCATAACCATGGGCATGTAATTAGATATTTACTACAGATTACACCATCAACACCATCTATCCAAAATGCCAGTGAGTGTCTAAAATAAGCCTTCAAAACTAGGTGCAACATTTTTTTTTTTGTAATTTACTTTATTTTAAATGATTTCTGCCTATATTTCAGTGTAGTTAGGAACAGTTTAATTGTTTATCTTGTATGTTAAAATTTCTGTTTACTTTTAAGCCTTTCTATTCATTATATCCTATCTCAAAACAGTACAGTTTGAGGGTCTCTCATCATCAGCCTTTATCCTTGTCTAAAGTAATTATGCATATGTCAACATCTAGACCTTTCTCATCAACATTTACCATGGGACCCTGAACATAGGGGCAAATCTAGATCTTTACTTGGTAGGGAAAAAAATAAACAAAAATAAATCTCCAGCTCCTAAATGATCAGTTTATCATGTGAACTAGAAGATTATACACCTACTCGTGCATTTCAGTACTCCTGTCCTACGTAGGCCAAGCTCAGGATCCACTCATTCCCCTGTTTTAGTTATTTGCATAGGCAGTAAAAAGACTTCTACAAATAACTTTACAAGAGTAACATATTAAAATTGGACTTACTGTGCAACCAAGACGTGTCGGACTTCCCACCACAAACATCAAAGTCTTAGACGGCTTTTTTCCACCTTCAGCGACAATAGTATGCTCCTCCACAAACTTCTCAAAATAAAGTTCAGTGCAATGTTTTAGCTCCTGATTAAATGGTGAATCACAGGACAAGATGGGTGAATTTATACAACGAGCAATCCTTTCCAATCGATCAAGCTTCATATCAAGGACCAGGGTAACTCCCATTTGAAGGATCTTCTCCATGACAGCACGAGAAGCAGATTTCTCCACCAAAATAACATTTGGTTGACATGCTTGCAAATTCTGCATCAGTCCACCCCAGTTGACTTCATCCTATCAAAGGAACTTACTCCAATCAGAACAAGCAGCAAATCATAATGAAAATGACAAGAAAGAAATTAAATCTTTCAAGTTTCAAACAAGGACAATTTACCTCAGAAATCATTGAGCTAAATGATGACAGCCCAGATGAAACAGATGATGGACCCAGCATTCCTTGTATTAGTAACAATCTAGGATTTGTGTACTTGGTAATCATGTGTTTGTGAGCAGCATGCTTCTTAAAAACCAAGCCTTTAATTAATTGACTGCAAAACATATGTACACATTAATTCTCATTAAGACAGAAGCAGACAACTTCATTACAAAACTAATACCTAGCTAAAATCTCAGTACACACATAGATTCCTTAAATCACAGAAAAATTTTACTAAGAAAAATTATGAAGTATGTTGCAAATAAAACTTGCTGTCATCTAGAGACTTCTTTTACCACCCAATTAAGTAGCAATCTGGTTGAGAAATGGAAATCAGTGAAGAAAACATGATTTACTAGAGTGTTTAAAACAGTATGTAAGCAATCTAAGATCTCCTGAAACCACAAAATACCTCGTCAACAGATTAACATAATGCAAAAGGTGCATATAGAAAGCTCAATATGAATATATAAAAAAAATAAATAAATAAATAAATAAATAAACCTTTCTTTTGGAGATCCAGCAGCAACACATTTGATCTTCACATATCCAAATGGATCCATAGCTTTACCCTCAGTGACACCAGGCTCCACAAATTTAGCAGCTTGCCATGCCAAATCTGTAACAATATCCACCCAGTTTTCATCCTTGTCATCACAGATTTCTACACCAAGTTTACTAAGTAGCTGGCTCACCAAGTCCTTGAACTTCTCATTCTTTACATTTTCCCTGGCCAACTCAATCTCCTTTGATCTGGGATTTCCCCACTCTGAGCTATCGGCATTAGCGTACTCTTCAACATCAAAACCCACGCTATTTGCAATGTCATCATTTGCATTCTCAGCTTCTGGTGGATCCCAAATCTCATCTCGTTCATAAAAGGTAGGAGATGATACATCTGCTTCATCAAAAAACTCATCACTGCTTGCACCACTTTCACTATTTGTAACGTGACTGTCCAAGTTTTCAAGCATCAAACCATTTTTTTCCTCCTCGTGATTTTCCTTAACATCATATAATTGCTCAGGAGCTTGATACAACCTAGCTTGATACAACCTGTATCTGGGATCCTCAAAACCACTCTCAGACCCATGGCCATCTTCTCTAGTATCAGTAGTATGTCTAGCAAAATTAAATAAGAAACAAGAAGTCATGCATCTAGCATACAGAAACTTAGGAGAAGTGTAATCTGTAATCTAGAACACACAATATAATCATAATTATATTCACAGTCCAGAAAATACAAAATTACAGACATACCCATCACTATATGGGTTGACATCCACAGAGTACTCACCTGAAATACAAAAGGCATCCATGAGATCATACAAAATCATACCTAACTCATCATTGAAATGCACAAGTACAGCATCTTACTACTATTTGAAGCAAAACTTTCAGAGCTCGCCAGTGATTTAGGTGGACCGAGTAAGGGCGCTTCAAGAGTACTTGAAGCATCCTTCTGTACAATTCCGTGTTCAGGATTAACAGCATGTGATATAGAGGAAACTACTTGCTCTTCCCCGGTAAGACCTGACAATTCTTGATTTTCATTTGGTTCCATTTGTTCATTTGACTCGGAACTAAACTGACACATCTACAACATTTAGTCCAAGTCAAGAAACTCGTCTGCTGCCAAACTAGATGAACACAAGACATTCATTCAGTTGACTACATCATCCAAAAAAAACATCAACAGATTCCAATCTCAAATACCAAAATCCAGTCCATTGTTGGTTGTTTAACAGTTCTTTTTTATCATCCCCTTCTCAAGCATCAAGATCAAAACTCGTCTAAAGTCAACGATTAAGACTAATACAATCAATTAACTCATAAAACTACCCATACTGATCAATATAAACAGCATAATCAATCAAAAGAAACCCAGAATTGATCAAAATACCCCCAATCATAACCAAGAAATCAGTCAAAATATACCCAAACAAATATACACCCAAAAATCAAATTAGATGACAACCATTTCAATTTTCACAACACACCCACAAATCAAACTACTGAAATTTCAAGATTCAAGAATCAATTACTCCATATAGTCACAATTCAAATACACCGTATACCCACAAATCCACAATTCAAATATTCAGTATATTCACAATTCCACAAGCTACTCAAAACAAGATTTCAACTATAATTCATCCACTAATTAAAGTTTCAAGAAAAAATAAAAAAGATTGATCACCAAAATTTTAAGTTCGGGAGGATTTATTAACACGCCATTAATGAAAACACGCAAAGTAAATCAAAAGCAAAAAAAAAAAGACAAACATACTAGAAATTCACAGAAATCAATGGAATTGATACTATAAAAAATTAATAGTTGGAAAGATAATTAAAGCAACTGACCTTACAAGTAACCAAATTAATGCAAAGTTAAGCAAATTTCACTGGAAAATGAAGTCGTAAAACAGTCAACAGAGTTCAACCCAATAAATTCTGATTGTGCCCCAAAAAAATTCTCAAAGAATTTTAGAGAATCAGAGGCAAATAATCCGTGAAGAAACGCAAAGACATGTTCAGGAGGAGAGAGAAAAAGTGTAAGAGAGAGAAAGAAGGAGGAGAGAGAAAGAGAGAAAGAGAGAAAGTGAGAGGAAATGTTGAAGAGGAAGAATAGAAACAAGGAGAAGAAATTGTCAATATAAAGGTGGGTCCACACTCTTCTCCGTCACTACAACTATAATGTTGCTCGTATTTTAATTGTACATAATAAATTAAATTCCACCGCTATTAATAATAATAATAATTTACTACGAGTCTACGAGTACTAATAATAATAATATGTCCCATCAATACAAAAATTATAATGAAAATGATATACATAGTCTTGTGATAAAAATATGATCAAAAAATTTATTTCGCTAATTTTACCATTAATTTTAGAAAATAAACTACTCGTAATTAAAATTTTCATTAAAAACTTGACATTAATTTATGAATTACGAGTACATTATAAGAACATCAATTGTCAATAACTCAAGATGTCGCCAAATTTGAAAGATTGTAGAAAGTGACATAGGTTTAGCAGCTACTCGTATAAATATACTTGTATTTTATCGGCAAATACAAGTTTATCTCCAGTAAACGAATTTTTGTTAATTTGGGACATTTCTTTAAAAATACGGAAAAAGCATAATCATTTATTCAGTACTTTTGGTGAGTTGTCAATTATTGTTTGCAACTTGCATTTACTGTTTGATGTGGAAATTACACATGTACGCCTCAACTAGTACATAAAAAGATGCATGTACCCCTCCACTGGCATTTAAAAAGACAATTATACCTTAACTGGGCAAAACTCGTATTTTATTTGTTTACCTTTTTCTTCTATCAAATTATGTTCACAAGGTTATTAAGTTCAGATAAGATAAGTTCAAGAAAAATAAGTTTAAATAAGTTGTGATAAAGGTTAATTAGGACTACCTAGCAAGCTCAATTTCTAATAACGACTAACAAGTTCAGAAAAGATTTGATAAGTTCAGATAAGTTTAGATAATAAGTTCAGAATCAGGTGAATATAAAGCACCCTTAAAATCTAAGCTCTGTAATTGAGGAACATGGGATGAAGGGACGGTTAGTCCCTCCATTTCCCCTATGAGTGATCTAGGTTCGATCATCACCCCACCCTTCCCACTATGAGTGATGTGGGTTCGATCATCACCCCACCCTTCTTGTCGTGTATTAAAAAAAATAAAACCCTAATCATGTATTTGATAGATTTGATCATATTAATTTCTATTACAGACTTGTAGAAATTATAATTTTATACATGAAAAAAAAATTAATTAAAAAAAAAAAGAGAAAAAAGAAAAGAGTAAGGACTATGTTTTGGATAAGCACAATTTACAATACATTATATGAGTCAATTAATGATGATAAATTGGCTAAAAAAATTCCTACCAAAGAACGACATGGCCAATAATTGTGAATTTACCTTTTATCCATCTATTCCAAAAGTAACCTGGGTTCAATTGTTGTTGAGATGTATTTCGTATTATTTATTTATTTTCCCTATTTCCCTTTTAAAAACATGCATTCAGGCTTTTTCACTTTTAGTTGTTTTACAAACTATTTAAGGTAGAGGAGTATCAATATCATTATACTTACAATATAATGTTTGAGATTCTTGTCTCAAAATCTCAGATGAGATCTGCTGGTGTATGTGTTGTGTGGCATGTGATGTTCATATATTATTACTATAAACTAGTATGTATACACTATGTTGTAAAAATAAAAAATAAAACTTATTTTTAGGTTTGAATGAATTAGATTACAAATTCATAAATTACAAAAATAGAAAATTAAAAAAGAGATTGAGAATTCAGACTTGTCGTATGCATACTTTAAAATTTTGTATAGTCTTATATGGAGTTTGATTAAGTACAAAAATGAAATACTAATAAAAAGAGGAAGCAATAAAACTGTTATATACAGAGTACCAAGTAATTACGAAACACGAAACAATCCTTTAAGTTTTTTAAAAAGTTGTTGAACTGTAATTTTATTTAATTTTGTTTTCACTTTTCAATGGGAGAAATACACAATTGTTGCTCGTACTTGGTACAGAGGTGTGGTTGACTTTGATGTACAAAATTGATGTTTACTTGTATTTTACTGTACGGCGCAAGGTCTTCACGTCCCACCAAGGTTTTTTTTTTTTTTTTTTTTTTTTTTTTTTTGGAACAAGACTTGTGTACAGTATGTGAAACATGTAATTTTAATTTCTCAAGGTAAATCCATTTCCTATTTTCTACAAATTCTCACTAATGAAAATGAATGGGCTAAATCTCAAAACATTTTAGCTTGTGCGCGTAATTTGAATAGCTTTTTTGTTAGAGGGTTGTCATATATGGGAATTGTGTGGTTATGTTTCGTTCCTTAAGTGGAAATTACAAATAATACTATCGGCAATAACTTATTTAAGCAATAACTAATCTGCGACGGCTAAATCATTAGTTTAGGGTCTATTCTGATTTAATGAACTGATTGGAGCTGAACTAAAGTGAATTGAGCTGAAAGGAATTGTTTATGAGAGAAGGAATTGTTTATGAGAGAAGAAAATTAAGAACTGAACTGAACTGATTAGAGTTGAACTGAAGAGAACAGACCCTTATATACATATAATAATATTGATAAAGACTTGATCTATTTGTATTATTGTATATATGTGGAGGTTTGGCAACCTAGTTCTTAGTTCTTACAAGGATTGGCATATATATATATATATTACTAATTTCCCTACTACAACAAGTTCTATAATTCTCGTATTGAATGTGGTATAACCGTATAAAGGTATACATATGAACAAATTCATTATTGGCTAAAGTCCTCAGAGTGATACACTTGACAAAATAAAAATCATTGAATAACATCTCTAGTTTTAGAAATAAGATGAAAACATATCCAATTGGTTCAAACCGACCATGAGAAAATCAATAAATAAAGTTAGTTACACTTGATTTAAAGCATTAAATTCCAAGTTTCTTATATTTTCCGCTAACTTTGGATATTATGATATCACTTAAATTAAAATTAATCAAACAAAGAAAGAAAAAGGAATAGTCGTCACAATTTCATAAAGAAAATTTACTGTACTATACTACGCATTTACCAATTTATGTTATAAGTGAAAGATTTTAATGAGTTTATGATGTGCTAAATAAACATTATTTTACGTCACAAAACTCACAATCACGCATACTTCGGATCAAAGAAAAATATAAACATGATGTTCACCCATAGTTATTGGTTACCAATTAACAAAGTGTGGAGGTGAGATTCATCCATCACCAAAATAGACCAACATTTTCCTTGCACCAAAAATCTCAAGCAAACTACAGAGTAGTATATTTACAATTTTACTTCACTTGCTACAAATAGGTTGTACGGACTGCCAATTATTTTTTACAATGTACGATATGTTATAGTTTAACAAATGTTTTTGATACACATGCAACTAACACAATGGTTAATATTGTATAGAGTAATAAGATATTGGAACACTTTTAATAATATCCCACTTGAATATATTTTCCCATATACACTGTTAGTTGAAACGAACACTACAAGAGGGGGGTGAATTGTAGTTAAGTTCTTAATCACTACTTTTGCAAATTTAAAACAGAATATAAAAGGAACTTGATAGTGCACACACAGTTTTACGAGGAAACCTTCCAGGGCCCAACTGGAAGTAAAACATCGACCCTTCTAAGGGATTTCAACACACAAACAATCCACTATAATAGGGAAATGATGAAATTACAAACCTATTATAATCCAGACCTTTAAACACAAGTTCCAACTAGAACTTGTAGCACAGTAAGACTCAATCCTACCCAATTCAAATCCCCTGACTTGAATTCACTCGTACTCTCACAGTACCAATGCACTCTTTTTCACAAAATAATTGCTACTGTATGTGATAATAAATCTCATACACTCTCACCCAAATACCCAATCAATTACAGTAAAATATGTTAGGCAAGCTATGCATAAAACCCGAAACTAATATGACAAGATAAAGCTTGGCAAACTTACACTTTGATAAAGCTCACAAGATTTTCTTCACGCATAAACTTACAAAAATCGAAAGCAGTTTTACCTCTACTATTTATACAATCATAACTTGTATAGAAAGTAGGTTTTCAAAAGATAAAGATGTTAACTTTCCTTATCTCTAAATACGATTTTTGGTAAATCATTTTATTAAAGAAAAATCCTTTCCAAAAAATACAAGAAGATATATATAAAAGAATAATATCGTTTTGCAACTGAATTTAAGGAAAATAAATTAAAACAAAATCTTTTTTCCAAAATCTATCTTTTTATATTTTTTCCAATTTTATCTTTTTACCAAATTATCTTGTCACGTCTCTAATAGATTTCATGCATATCTTATTAACATATTTAACAATAAATCTAGAAGATAAAATCTTAACTAAATTAATATCTCAATGCCGCGCTTCTGTAATTCTGAATATCTTGGGCTTCACGCAAGCCAGGAACAAGTTCCTGCTGTCATTTGGTCTCCAGTTCACAATTGGAACTTCGCAGCCTAAGTCCCTTGTGGAACTTACTGTCTTCATCTTACAACCTTCAAGTTCCTGTTAGGGAACATTCCTGTTAAGGAATTTAGTTCTTGTTAGAGAACTCTTCTTCTATTGATTAACTCTTTAAAGATTCTTCAAGTCTTCATAATACAAGATGTTCTTCTTTCACCAAGGTCCATTTCTCCTGTACTTAAACACTTGTAAACCTTTAGTTGAGTTTGCTCTAGTTTAAGTTCATCATCATCAAAACTTATAAGCTTCAACAATTTCCCCCTTTTTGATGATGACAAACTTAAGCAAACTCTTAACAAAAGTTAAAACACATAGAAGGACGTATTTTTGTATTTTTGATTTTTTTGACAGAAAGTAAACACACAAAAACAAGAAACAAAAATAAAGTGAAGAAAATAAAACAAACAAAACAGATCATGAAATAACTAAACTACCAAAACAGAGAAGTTTTGATATTTTCTCAACTGGAACCCAGAACGACTGAAACCTTCAAGTTTTCTTCCTCTTTTCCCCTTTTTGGCATCATCAAAAAGTCCTGCTTTTTCAA